ACGTACTGATGCAAAGTAACCTGTGCCAAACAAGTTAAAATGTCTCAACCCTGCAAATTTCAAGCTAACTTTACCTCCTGGAGCTATGTTTTGCTGCGCAGGCATGTGGCTTGCTTACAGCCCATAGCTTTAATAGTGTGCTGAACAGTAGTAGTGAGATGGATAAGTTATTACTGGCTTTGACGCCACACCCCGTACACCCCTCTGCGGAGTAATGCGAGGAAGAAGGAACCCCTGCTGCAGCGATGGCCCACCTGGTGTTGCACAGGCTGCAAGGATGCTGCCATTACATCAGATTCAATCTCACAAGCCTGTGTTACATGCGCTCTCTTTGTACGCCCAGGTTCTCAAAAAAACGATCTAGCTTCGCCTTGGCAACCGTCTTCAGGAAATTTATCGTAAAATAATTTACAAACGAAAAAAAATGCAGCTCGTGCCACTTCACAAACACTGTAGAAACAGTGAAACTTATGTTTATGTTTCATCAGGCTGTATCGTACTGCTATATTTTTCAAGTCTTCCATTCGTCGGCACTTTGCTTCAACCTTCGTTACACGAACATCACAGTTGATTCAGCGACAACATGGTTGTTCTCGCTTCAACTGACGTTTCTAACGTTTCATCTCGCATCGACCGCAACTTCCAAGTTCACGTGGCATTCTTAAATACCAACATGTATTTCCACTCCTACGTGCCCAAGCCATCATTTGAATGGAAACACCTTCCTGCCTCTAGCCCCAGCGACCCTGATCATGCACCATTTAAGACTGTCATTTCTGACTTCTAACACTAGTCCTCTCTATAACACTGCAAATGGCATTAAGAGTACTAAAATAAATAAATAAATAAATAAACTCGCACTGACAACCACGTCAGATGGCTTCTAGACCGAGAGAATGAGAAATGTTAGTCATCTTGAAAGTGCAAACTCCTGAGCACGCTATTTAATTTACACTCCACTGGGCCTCACCATCTTGGCGCATTTCTCAAAGGTTCTTCCACTCTCGTGTCTCAAAGCAAGCACTCGCCTCTCCTCAAAGTGTACTGCCTCACCTATCACGGCACGCGCAGCCTTCCCCATCCCACGGAGACTAAAAATTTTAGCGCCCTAGACAAGCTTGCACTCAATCACGAACGGCAGCAGCGTGTGCCCTGCTGCTGCTCATAGGTGTCAGTTGCGACGACATTAGTTGTGTGTTTTTAGCTCGTGAAAACATAGTTATATTAACCCTGTTATTGTACACCAAACAAAAACCAAGAGAACATTTCTGTATCTCAGGAGTAATAATAATAACAATAATACGTAGCTGGGGTTCTTTAACGGGCACATAAATCTCACCCCACAATCCTCAAGCATTTTCCCCTCCATCGAAAATGCTGCTGGGATTCGATCCTGCAACCTGGAGGTCTGCAGCCTTAGCCACTAGAGCACCGTGGTGGGTGTGTCCTGACTCAGGAGTACCCACCGTGGTAGCACAGTAAGCTAGTGGTGTATCCAGACGACGGACCCGACGGACCGACCCGCGAACGGTCTAGTCACGTGACAGTAAGAATGCCCGTGGCCCGTCTGCTTGCCTCATACAGACGTGCAAACAGAAACGGGAGGGTTAAAGCCGAGCCGAGAGCAGTTCCAACCGCACAGGTTGCCCCACGCGCGTCTTCCAAAAGAGCCCATTAGTTTAAAGTGCCTCCGGCTTACTTGGCTGCCGAAAAAAAGAAAGAAAGAAACCTGTCTTGTTGACACCCCACCCGTTCAAGCGTGTAGCCCACCGCCAAGGATGGGAGCGGGCCGTTCGTGAAAATGTTTTCAGCATTGTTGGACCTCTTGGCCCACGGCCCAGCTACGGACTCCCACAACTGGTAATGGAGGGTCACATGACGATGAGGCCACGGGCCAAAAGTGCGTTTTGGCCAATCATCTGGATGCACCTCAAGTGCCGTGCTGCTGAGTTCGATGGGCTCGATTGCTGGCCACAGTGGTGGAATTTCTATAAGGCTAATAAATGCGAAGGAACAGCCGTGCACATAGATTTAAGAGCAGTTTGAGGAAACCCAAGTGATGAAAATAAATCCCGAGGTCCTCGCTACAGCGTGTCTCGTCATATCGTGGTTTTGGTAAATAAAATCCAAGCAATTCTGTTCTGTCTCAGAAGTCAAGTGCACACTGTTAACCACAATGTTGACGAGATTCATGATGTCAAGTCTGAAAGCCTTTCCCGTCGCCAGCCGAAAAAAAAAAAAAAAAAACTAAGCATGCTTACTTCACGGTGCAGTTTGAGCATTGCAACCTGCAGCACATGCAGTTCTTGTGTTATTCACCCATTATTGAAGCTGAAAGGTTCCACAACCTTGCAGCAACTAAATCTATCTTACCGCACGCACAAGAAGTTGTGGGACACGACTACGTTGTCGCCTGGAAAGTTTTCAGCGGTTGCCGTGTAGCAGAGCCGCCGTAGCTGAAAGTTGCGAATATGATGTTTGCAGAGTACCGTTGTTGTCGCAGCAGTTCCACCTGGCAAAAATTTCCTTACAGTATGCAAGGGCGTGTTTTACTGAAAATAGTGGTGAAAACGTATATTATGAGTAGTTTCTTTAAATATGTGTGGCATACCAACCGAGCAAAATACTAGTATAGTACGTTCCGTTTTCAGTGTATGCTAATACACTTTAGGTGGTCTAAATTAGTCGAGGCCCTTAACTATGGCATTTTATGGAACCTGGGTCGCTTCGGGATGTTAAACCTCACAAAACAACAAAACCAAACAGCGTGGACAAGCCATTCTATCGATATACGGGGTGTTTCAAGATATGTCCCTAATATTATTTAAAAATTAAAGAAAGAAGGCACTTACTTCCTACCTCCTGCGTTCCCTTTACTTTAGAAGAAAGCATCTTCCGATTTGTAGAAACATTAATGACAGCAGTAAGTATAGAAACAGTTAACTTTTTAACGAGTAGAAATAGCCAGTCGGGTCAAATGAGTGATTTAAAGTTTTTCCCACGAATAGTCTATAGCCATTTCGAAATTTCTGAAAGGCGGTTGCTGGTAATCACCGCGGAGTGATGAAATCTGGCTGATTCAGCTGGCTAAACCAAAACTGATTCAGTGAACAGCGCATCTACTAACGTCGAAAACGCCCACAATGAGAAGTTAATTGTTATAAATTGTGTGAAACGTTCTTTTAATTTTTTTATTACTGTCGTAATAAATGTTTACTCACATTGGAAAAAGCATTTTACCAATGTAAAGGGAACGACGCAGGTAGCACGCAGATGCCTCTCAAATTTTTTGTAACTTTTAAATAATATTGGACACATTTTTTGAAACACTCTGTATAAGATAACCAGGCCTAAAACAGGCCTGACTCAGGCCCAGGCCCGACCCGAGCCATAAGCTCATGGGCCTGAGCCTGGCCCGGGCCTGATCCAACAATGGCTTACCTGGGCCGACCCGTGCAGCGTGCTAGTTTAGGGCACCCCTTCTCGACTCACTTCTAAGGCGCGTCCAACCAGATAAAGTAATAATGGCGCATGCCCGTTGGCTCGGCGACAGGCATTGGCAATCGATCGCCGGGAACTTTACGACAAAAAAATATTTCATGTGTCGCTTCTATGGCAACCAATGTCCTGGTCGGTAACCCCGATGTTCGCAGCATGTTGAGTTTGTTCACATGCAGGAGAGGTGGTACACGTCTTCTGCTCAAGTTCCTAAAATGCCATAGCCAACTTTGCTCTTTCCCGCGAAGCGTTGTTGGCTACCGCAACGTACTTTTGGCTTTTAAGTTGCGTCGTCTCATCGATCAGTATCTGCTGCAACCAGAGGACCGATGGGCGCGGAATGTTATTACTTTATTATGTCGATATCGTCTCGCAAGTTTCCTGACCAGATGAATATACACCTTACACCGTGGTTTAGGGTTAAGGTCTGTCCAATTGGATTTTCATTGATGACGCAAACTGCGGGTGGCCAATGTGGCTTTCTTTTCTTGCTTAAGTTAGAGCAACTAAGAAAATGTTGAGGCATGATCGGGCATTTTGGCATACCGTGGCGCGATTTCAGCAATTTTCATAGTTACGGCGCACCTCGGCGCAAAACGGAGAATTTTATCGAATTGGCGACGCTACTGCATCCCTTGCATTACCCCACTCATAGATGGCGCCGCCTTTTCTATCAAAGTATAGACGATTTTTCGCAGCAGCGTACGGGCGCTACAATGTTCAATCACATGACCATAACTGCTTTTCTCCCAGCCAACGCATTTGGCCAACAAAGCGACCATGGCTGTAGCTGAGGTTAGAAGTCAACATGGCAGCACCCATGCAAACACGACCACCCGTTTCGATCCAAACTCGTGCTTGGTACTCGCCCGCTGTCGTCACAGCAATAAATGAATAAATGGTGAAATCAGCTACCACTTTGTGTCATCTTATGCTGGGGTCAAAGCATTAAATATATACTGTTTTTACTAAGCATTTAGCTGTGTTCATTTAGCCATACTTGCTAAGCGCAGTATTTGAGAACTTGAGAATGAATTTTGAAAATACTGCAAAATACTCGGCATCCTCATAGCGTCTGCTTCACGCAGACGCTGTGAGGACGCCGAGCAGATGACGCGATGCGGGTGTTGAGCAGTGCTGAAAAGGCCACAGCAGAAGGACGGCTATGGTAGGAAAACGGCCACTGTATTGTGGCACCATCCAATTTTAGTGAACAAACCAGCTGCAGAAAATCGTCTATATGGAGCCTACATAACACGCCAGTCATTTAGGCTCCTTATATCAAGGTAAGGCTTATTGTTCTTGAAATAAGGAGGCTGTATATCAAGATCATGGAGTAAAAAGCCGCTTGCGCAATGCATTGCATTATGCCCGGAAAGTCGCATGCTTTTTTCTCAAGGAAAGCAGCCTTAGAAGGCTCAGAAGTGCAACTTGGTTTTTCCAGGTGGTTAGGGTGGCAAGTGGTCCTATACAAACAAAAAAAAAAACTTCAAGATACGCACCCCTTTCGCGACACACCTGCGTGTCCGGAAAGTCGAGCTCCCAGAAGTGTTCGGGTGTCGCTGGAGGAGCGTGGTGTGCTCGGTGGCGGGAACACTTGTGCATCAGCTCCCTACGCTTGGCCTCGGGTAGGTCGAGCCGCCCGTAGAACTGCGAAAGCACAGCATGCACTGAATTTCAGGGAAGTAAATAAGAAACAGGCAGTCTTTAGGTCAGTTTGGCACTTCAAAAAAACACTAATTATATATACGGACAGCAATATCAAAGGTGCTGGTGCCGACATTGTTGCTGATCATTACTGGGGAGATGTTGACAAAGATATTGTAGCGATATGCCATCATCATCATCATCAGCCTGCCTACAGCCACTGTAGGACAGAAGCCTCTTCCATCTTTCACCAGTCAACTCGGTTCTGTGCTTGCTGCTGCCACTTCATGCTTGTGAACTTCTTAACCATCATCTGCCCACCTCACTTTCTGTCTCCCCATCACCCGCTTGCCTTCTCTGGGAATCCAGTCAGTTACCCTTAATGATTAGCGGTTATGCTGCCTACGTGCTACGTGCCCGGCCCATGTCTATTTCTTCTTGATTTCAAATATGATATCAATACTTAACCCTGGTTTGTTCCCTGACCCACTCTGCTGTCTTCTTGTCTCTTAAGGTAACACCAATCATTTTCCATTCTATCACTCGCAGCATCGCCTTCAATTTAAGCTGAACCATCTTTGTGAGCCTCCAGGTTACTGCTCCATAGGCAGGTACCGGCAAAATGGAGCTCTTACATACGTTCCTCTTGAATTTGAACTTTGTTCAGACAGTCATTTAGTCATTGTCTAGTTTAAAGGGGCTAAAGCAGACAGGACTGCCTGAGAGAGGCCCCCCCCTTACCCATACATTGCTCAGGGGTGGAAAACTGCAGAACATGGGCAAATACAGGTAACAAGAATATAAGGTCAAAATACAGCATACAGGCAATCAAAACACAATAAGTAAAATAGATGCATTCAGTACACACTAATATTAGCACGTGCCATGTGAATATTTTCACTAACCCTGATGATCAATGCTACAAAACAGTATAAAACAAATAAGAGGGAAAAAAGGAGACAGCAAACTTGAAGGAAGGATTAGCAGCTAAACAAAAAGTAGTCTAACTTTTTTTTGGAGGCAGTATGTCGAATTATTGTCCTGAATCATATTGGCAATCTTTCTATTGTTATTTAGTAAATGTGGCATTAAGCAGGCGAAAATTTGAGTACCATATTTAGTTTGAAACATGGCAGATCTGAGTCTATTGTGCTTAAAGTTATAGTGAGAATGGTCAGATGACAATAGTGGCGATAAAATTTGGGGGTCATGCAAAACTTACCTATGTGCACTGGCTTTAGTTTGAATAACTGATCTATTCCTAGTATACTAGACGTGGAAAATAATGGTGCTATGTGGTTATTTCGCTTATGATTTTCGATGCAATGCACTGCTCTTTTTTTGTAAAATTAATAATCTTTCAAAATTTGTCTGAGTAGTGGTACCCCAAATTAGGGGACAGTATTGCAAATGAGAGTGAACAAAGGCATAACCAGCGTGCAACAGCCAAAATAGAATTTGGAGCAGTTTTCGGAGCAGCAAAATGTTACTTTTGGATCACGAAAATCCAAAATCCAAATTTGGAGCAGGTTACGGAGAACAAAACTTTGATTTTTTTTTTTTTTTTTTATCGTGAAAGACCAAATTTGGAGCAGTATGAAAAAGAAGACTTACATTCAGAAGGAAAAATATGTACGAAAAAATGCCACCACCGCCCCGAAAACAATCGTGAGGAAATGCGAATGCATTGCGTAGAGTCCTTAACGATGTTTCGCAATTGAGAACCCTGCATTAAAAAAATAATGTTTTTTTTCTTACACCGTGCAGCCAATAGCGGCGTTCACTGCACATGGCATTTTTCTCTCACGAGAAACATGGTATGCGTTTCCAGCTCTAGTAGCTAGCAGGCACGATTACAAAATGCCATAGAAGTGAACAAAACAAACAGCGTTCTCAGCTCGGCATTGCCGTTTTACAGCGGCGTCTCGTGCACCCATCTCCCGATGTTCTTGAGAGGCGCCCAGCCAGCAAACGATCAAAAGTGAACCGCCAGCGGACGTGAAAGGGGGGCGCAAGAAGGATAGAGAGTGAACAGCGAGAGAAGGAGCGGTGAAGCACTGCACCAGTCATTGTACCTGATGGCCATAATGTCAGCGTGTTATCAACAGAAATGCTACACAAACGCTGGCAGCACAAATGCTACAACTGCGTTTCAAGTGCACTGCATTGAGGCGGTGGCAAGTCACGTTCAAGTCAAGGAGGTGGAAGCTCCGGTTGCTAAAGGCGAGGAAAAACGCGCACACTCGCAGCTGTTTCTGACAGCTGCCAACACCAAAGCGTGACATGGTGGAAATTCCGTTTGCTAGGGACGCGCACGTTCGCAGCTGTTGCAATGGGAGAGGGTGGTAGGGATACCGAAAGAAGCCTGACATACCTTGACTAAGAAATGCATTCACATTTAAAAAACAATTCAACATGCCCTAAATCATGCAGTGCGAGTAAGAGCACTGCTATTTCAATAAACTTCGTATTTCTAACCACATCACTGAGCAAATAATAAATAAAGTCCACATTAGCATTTGCGGCATCTGGCTTTGTGAATTCAAATGTGGATCTGCCAAGGTGGCGACCTTAACAGTCGAGGGGATTCGTAGGGGTGGCAAAAAAAAAATTCCACACAGTTTGTTTTTTTAGGGCGACACAAATGTCATCATCATCATCATCAACCTGCCTACGCCCACTGCAGGACAGAAGCCTCTTTCATCTTCCACCAGTCAACTTGATCCTGTGCTTACTGCTGCCACTTTATACCCGTAAACTTCCTAATCTTATCTTCTCCCCAACTTTCTGTCTCTCCCATGCCCACTTGCCTTCTGTGGGAATCCAGTCAGCTACCAATAATGACCAGCGGTTATACTGCCTACGCGCTACGTGCCCAGCCCCTGTCCATTCATTCTTCTTGATTTCAACTATGATATCCTTAACCCTTGATTGTTCCCTCACCCACTCTGCTCTCTTCTTGTCTCTTCAGGTTACACCTATCAATTTTCTTTCCATCGCTCACTGTGTCTTCAATTCAAACTGAACTCGCTTTGTAAGTCTTCAGGTGTCTGCTCCGTAGGTAAGTACCGGCAAGATGCACCTGTTATATACCTTTCTTTTAAGGGATAGTGGCAATCTACATTGATGGTTTGAAAAACTGTAGGTAAGTGCCGGAAAGATGCAGCTGTTATACACCTTCCTTTTATGGGATAGTGGCAATCCACATTGATGGTTTGAGAATGCTTGCCAAATGTGCTCCACCTCAATATTATTCTTCTAGTTACTTCAATCTCGTGGTTTGGCTCCGCGGTTACTACCTGCCCTAAGTAGATGCACTCTATTACAACTTCAAGTGCACTGCTACTTATCTCGAAGCATTGTTTTCTTCCAAGGTTGTTGTACATAACTTTTGTTTTCTGCAGATTAATTTTAAGACCTACCTTTCTGCTCTCCTTGTCGAATTCAGTAATCATGAATAGCAATTCATCCCCTTAGTTACTCATCAATGCAATGTCATGGTGAAGCGAAGGTTACTAAAGTATTCTCCATTAACCCTTATCCCCCACTCTTCTATTTCTAGGCCTCCGAAAACCTCCTGTATGAACCCCGTAAATAGCATTGGGAAGATTGTATCTCCTTGTCTTACACCCCTTTATTGGTATTCTGTGGCCTTCTTTATAGAGCACTATGGTGGCAGTGGATCCTCTGTATATTTTTCCAGAATGCCCAGATATGTTTTTGTGGATGCCCTGATTCCGCAATATCTGCATGACTGCTGATATGTCAACTGAATCAAATGCCTTCTCGTAATCCATGAAGGCTATGTACAGCAGTTGGGTGTCTTCTGAGCATTTCTCTATCACCTGATTGGTAGTATAAATGTGGCTGAGTGCTGAGTTAGCCGTTCGAAACACTGCTTGTTCCTGTGTTTGATTAAATCTTAATGTCTTCATTCTGTTAGCAATTTTTTTTGTAAATAGCTTGTATACGACTGAGAGCAAGCTGATCGGCCTGTAATTCTTCCATCCTTGGCGTCCCCTTTCTTATGGATTAGGACAATGTTAGCATTCTTCTGAAATTCTGGTGCCTGTATCGGGCACTTGTGCTGGTTGTAAAGGCGGGAATGCGCGTCGGTGATGCACAGTCTGTTCAAGTGCGTTCGCCGGTGCCTTTATAAGCTGAGCCCCAATAAACACCGTCGTCTTTCTTGCACCGACCATGCTGCTGTCAGCGTCGTCCATATGATCGTGGCGCTAGCCATACATAGTGTCAGAAGCCGCCCCTTGACCCCGGAGGAAACCATCCTCGCGTCTGCTACTTCATGGATCTCCTGAAGACTCCGGAGCAATTGCGGCTGTCCGGTAACGTCACGGAAAACTGAAAGCGGTTTAAGCAGAAGTTTGAATTATTTTTGCAAGCAACGGCGGCAGTGGAGCAGCCGAAAACGGAAGCATCGAAGGCAGCGCTACTTCTGAGCATTGCCGGTGACAACCCGTTGTACGTCTTCAACAACTTCAAGTTCGAGCCGAATGAGGACAAGAACGACTACAGCACCGTGGTGAGCAGGTTTGATGCCTGTTGCACCGAAGTTAGCAATGAAGTGCACCAGAGATATGTATTCCATTCAAGAAAGCAGGCGGAAGGGGAACCATATTAATGATTTGTTCAAGACTTGAAAAAGCAAGTAGCCCAGTGTAGCTTTGGCATATTGCAGGACTCAATGACAAGGGACCAAATTGTATTTGGCACACACAATCCTAGACTACGCGAAAAAATGCTGCGGGACAACCAGTTGACGTTGCAAAAAGCGGAGGAAATATGCAGGGCAGCGGGAACAGTAGCACAGCGAAACGAAGTATAGCGTAAAAGCAAAGACAGTGTGGACGCAGTCTCTAGGCACCCGTCAACCCCAAAGGAAGGAAAACAGGCCAAAGAACAACATCGCTGTCGCCGATGCAACCGCTGGCACAAACCAAAACAATGCCCAAGATTTGGAAGGAAATGTCGATTGTGTCATAAGC